TTTCGATTATGCAGCTACACAGCTACAGCACTTCCTTATTGAATGTGGAAGGACAACACACACCATTCTACAATCGGATCAGGAATACTTCCTGACAACGCTCACCACAGCAGTGGCCAACAAGAATGGCAACGAATTCTGGAGCACACAGCTCACAATCGCAAGGTGGAGTAGAACCAGCACACAGGACATTGCTTGCGCAAATCAGAACACTCAAGGCACAGATCAAGCAGAACTACAACAGAGACGTTTCGACAGAGCGCATACATCATGAACAGGTATGCAGTCCACAGCAATGGATGCGCAAGCTACTTCAACAGATGGAACAGAGAGCACACCACTTTGCGAGTTTGGTGCGCCATACATGCTACCAACAGTGAAACAATTTTCAGAACCCGAGCCAAGGTTCTACAATGGAATCTGGCTTGGCAAGGACACAACCACAGGTAAATCCCTTGTTGGGATCCAGACCAAAGGACAATCAGAAGCCAGATTATGCCTCGTAAACACAATCAAAAACTACTGGGCTGTGCACACACAGGTCCATGGAAGACACCCGCATCAGCACTGCCTACACCAACTTTCACAACACCGCTGACAATGCCAGCTGCAAGCAATCTACATCATGATCTATGTAGACGATCTCCTATTCATACAGTTACAAAGCAGCATCGACACATTGTTCAGAAGACTACAAAAGGAAGTTCTGCTGAGACACACAGGCGACCAAACAGTGGGATCGACCATACACTTCCTTCATGGAAACATATCACACAACGGCAATTACATCGACATCAGCTTGAACACCAACTATGTCGACATCATCCTGGAAGAATCAGGAATGACTACATGTAACCCATCACCAGGACCAGGAGTGTCACACATGAAAGCTACAACAGAAGATGAAGCACCACTTGATCACGAGCAACACAAGCAACACAGGCGGCTTGTTGGCAAGATACAGTGGCTAGCATACACACGGCCAGACATCAGCTATGGAGCAAAGGAACTAGCAAGATCACTACAAGCACCAACAAAACTTGACAACAAGAAGCTCAAGCACATGATCAGATACCTTACGGCAACAAGGCACATGCGACATAACCGACGATCAAAGATACAAACACAGGACAAGCGAGTTCCACTCAACATTGACACATACACCGATGCCAACTGGGCATCATACGAGACAACAAGGAAGAGCACAACAGGCTTTGCGCTATACTTCTTTGGAGCAGCAGTACACTATGGCAGCAGAACACAAGCAACACTAGCACTTTCATCAGCAGAGACAGAGCTGTATGCAATTGGTGCAGCAGCACAGGAAAGCCTCTACATCAGCAACTTCATCAGGACGCATTTGAAGGCACGCACCAACATCAGGATACACACAGACAGCAGCGCAGCAAAATCAATAGCAATGAGAGAAGGTACATCAAAGAAAGCAAAGCACATCGAGCTGCGACACCTCTTCATACAACAACCTGTCAGGAGCAAAATCATTACAACGCACAAGGTAAAGTTAGAAGACAATCCAGCCGACCTTCTGACCAAGTTTGTTGGCTGCGACACACTCAACAAACACATGTACACATTTGGCCTTTGAGGCCACACCGCACCAGCAAGTGCAGTAGTCAGCACAGGTTGTTAAACAACAGTTGCACAGTTCTCACACATGTATATGTTACTACCAAACGGCAGGCGCATGCTCTTTTAGCTTTAGGTTAGATACAGCCATGGATCAACCCTGAAGGCTCTACAACCCCTTTTTACATCTTTTGGGACAACAACTTGTGCATGACATTCTGTACATGTTTCTGACAATGGCTCAGTACATGCTGCAGCCATTTACATTTGAGGTTTACAGGAACCTTTAGACATTCAGCTTTTACATCGATAGCTCAGCGCGCATACAAGACTTTGCACCCGTTGGAGTCGGTGGATGTCATCATCAACTACACCAGAGGAGCCCCAGGACTACACCACAGCGATGGTTCCACTTACAGTGGAGCAATACAACAACTGTCACATCGGAGCCGAACCAGGTACAGAAGATTCCTCACTACGTGCAATGCCCCGCGTTGGGTTTCGTTGGGATGCTGCACAGTATCATGGATCGCATTGGCTACATTAGCTTGTTGATACATGAGGGTCATGACAGCACAACCGACATGAGCACGTTCTTCGTGTACAAGCTTAGCCTACAGACAGCCGAACTGTTTCAGAAAGTTTACAAGAAGAAGATTACAGTTTTCAATCGTGGATACATTGGACAGGTTTTGCAGCTACACAAGGAGTGTACATGGGTCTTGACACCCACAGAGCAGGCATCCGGGATTTTCTATAAGCTGACAGGTCACATCACGAACCTGTACAGGAACACATCATCCTTCAACAAATCATCATTCCTATTGAGATACAAAGGGGGTTTCTCGATGGCGTTGAACCGTCATACAAATCCTGCAGCACAAACCATCTCGGAGCTGCTGAAGACAATGGTCATCGAGTACATTGTCCAACGTGGAATACAGCTAATCCGAAACAGCACAGACCCGGACAGATTGGGTACAGCGATCAGCGCCGACAGGAGATTGACAGTGCGATGATTTTGTCACAGCATCAGGGCTACAAGCTGCCCAACAAGAAGGTTATGGATGACAGCGCCTGAATACATCAAGTACATTTTGCCACCGCAACTCGTGGTACAATTGGTCCGACAGCAAGAGACATCGTTGTACAGGATACTTGCATTCTGGTGATCAGTTTACATGCAGTGGGTCCTTACATCATCCCGATCAACAAGGACACTTGTACATTTTGCAAAGTGTGCTAATTTAGCACAGCTTGAGGAGAGGTGTTAATACAGCCATGCGTCGGGACCAAGATCGGTGGATGTGGTCAATTCCATTGCGATTTGCGTCGAAATCATGTGCTTTGCTTTTTTGGAAGGAATGAAAATGGACCACGTCTACCGATCTTAGTCTAATCATGTGAAAAGCAGTAAGAAGACAAGCCTTTTACTCAGATAGCAAACAATGCCGCTCCGCAGAGGTACCATGATTGCACAGAACTCATGAGATGTGTTTTCAATGAGCAAGAACGGAACCATCCCCCCCCCAACCCCCCTCTCAAAAATGGGCTCAAAGGATACTGAATGCTTGACGCCTTCTAAGATGAACAGAACAATACAGTGATATATATATATATATATATACTCAAGCAGTCAGAATGACAGGCGCAGAGACTTGATGGTTGCGCAGCTATTCCCTGTGAGAATGTTGGTAAAGCCACTGCGGAGTGCACAAGCAAAGACTTCGAACTGTGACAGTTGCATGCAGTACAAAGCTGTAAGGGTCCATTCAAGTTACCCCCCCTCCCAACCCCCTTTGCACCGATCTTGGTCCCGACGCACACCTTAATACACAACTGTCTTGCACAGATTGCATACATGTGAAAACCGCTGCATGTTGGTACAAGGCCTTGAGCCTAGCTTTCGCCCAGGATACAAAAGAGTGCTACAGTGCCGTGTCGTTCACCCCACAGGTTTACACTTTCAGGCATCAACGGGCTCACACAGTCACATTGGGTTTAAAAACATCTACCATGTATTTGTATATATATATATATGTGTGTGCATACTATTAATCGCCTAATGAAGGTTTCCCAGCCCAATAACAAATATGTTAACTGTGCCACTTGTGTTCAGGGCTCAAACACCAAGGAACTGTTTGGGGTTGGGGTAAAGGGAAAGGAGGGCCACCCCGAATGTACTGAAGCGCCCTTAAAAAATAGGCCATCCAATACTTACTATCTCTATATATATATATACATTAATGCGCTCATACGATGAATCGCCTGATGAAGGTTGGCCCAAAAACAAATCTTCTAACTGTGCCCTCCATGGTGTTCATGTAGAGTGTCGGCTCGGTACCGTTTGGGGTTGAGTTAAAGGGAAAGGAAGGGTTGAGTTAAAGGGAAAGGAAGGCCACGCGTTTAGACCCTCAAAGAATAAACAAATCAACATGTACTATCTCTATATCTTTTAAATACGCCTACGACTCATCACCTGATGAAGTTTTGCCAAAACAAGTATTCTAACTGTGCGCCCCCGTGGTGTTCATGCATATTTTGGGCTCGGGTACCCTCAAAAAAACAATCCGATGATATTTAGTTTATGCATACGATGAATCACCTAATTAAGGTTTGCCAAAAGCAAATATTCTATCTGCGCCCCCAAATGTGTCTATTTTTGGCTCGGTACCGTTTGAATCTCTGGAGAATGTGCTGCACATGAAATATTCTAACTGTTCGTGGGAGAGGGGCATGGCACGTCGGGCTGAGCTTTTGAGCCCCGAAAAAAGGGAGAAGCGGTAGGTGCGCCCCTCAAAATGGTTGGTTTCCGTTTGGTTTTGCTTTGGGCCAGCCACCAAAAGGGTATACAACCTCGAAATAAAAACGGACCCAAGTAAAAAAATCATGGGAGCCACATGGTTTCCTGAAAGACGCATATACTTATATAGCAACGGGCCAGCAGCTAGGAAATTTATTGCAGAGTAGTTGTTCATAACAGTCACCCTTGCTTTGAAATATTCTAACTGTGTCTTAATATTCTAACTGGTTTGGTTGGATTCATTCTAACTGCGGTTGTCGATTTATTCTTACTGTTTGCTTTTTAAGACTTTTGAAATGTGCATTTTCATTTACTCCCAAAATAATATTCTATACCGGTCTCAGCATGAAACTTGATGGCAACCCAAGCAAACCACACCTTGATCCAAAATAGCAGCAGGGGGCGGGCCAGGACCGCTGCAGATGCGCTATCCGAGATGGCTAACGTCCAAGCCAAGATGTACCGCAAACCCAGGGGTTTCTCTGAGGGTCAGTGTTTTCAAACAACGTGTCCGCTAAGTAGACCCTGAAATTCCTGGTTGCGAACCGCCCTTGTCTGGCTACATTGAAAGGCCGTTCGGCAGCCACACCCCCGATCACATCCCCTACTCCTCACGCGCACGTCCGCAGCCCAAACCTGCCCCAAAGAACGGGCAAGCGAGTAAACTGCACATGTTGATCCGCTCAGACAAAGCAACACAAATTTGGCAGCGTTGCTTGCTCCAGGCAGGTGCGCCTCCAGAACCGTTTTGGGCAGAGAGTGTGGGTGAAGTACTTTGACCAGCCACCCGTCTCAGCACTAGCCAAAGCCTTGTTGTGCCTCATGAACTGCTTTCTGGTAATTCTATCTATCATTTGATTCTTATTGCCAGGGCGCCCTTGACTCTAAGATAAGAATCGAGAGTTCATAAAACAACGCTGTGTCGCCCCGTGTCAGTCAACATCAAAGCTGAGACCGCGCACAAACACTGCCTTCGCTGCCGGCCAGCGGCCTGCCTGGGCTGCGCAGCTCGGGCGCACATTGCAAGTTGCGCAGCGCGGCCGGGAGATAGCCCCTTCTGTTCTGCGCGAAAGCAAACTTGAAGAGCAAGCAGCAAGAGGGCAGGAGCCCAAAGAAGTTCGAAAATCCAAGGGCCCCAAATGGTTGACCAAAAGCAGGAATCTTGCAGCTAAGACCTGCCGCCTGCAAACAACGCTGGAAGCGCGACCCAGCACTTCGAGCGCCAGCCTTGCGAAAATAGCTCACTGAGGAATGTTCACCGGCAAATTGAAAATGCATGGCATGACCTTGCTCGTGCGCAGGTGGGAATTCCTCAAGCTTTGGTTCCGAAATGAATGCCTCAGCAAGTCAAAAAATTGGCCAGCTACCCTGGAAGCCACCATCCGCCCACCAGCTGGAAAGCCGAGCGGCGGAAAAGTCCCACCAGCTCACACACATGCAAGTTGCCTGGGCGAAACGCAGCCTACAAGTCATACGGGCGGCGAAACTTCCCTTATTGAAGCTAGTGGGCAACGACCGCATCGTGGCCCCGCCTAGTTCTTCTGACAGGTAGCGCGTGACGCAAACGTCCTGGCGAGCGCAACCGCACCCAGCGCTCTTGGCCTCTAATTTGCCTTAGTGCTGCGGGCTCGGAAGTGGTTTGCTTTTCGGGCTACGCGGCCAAGGCGGCTGGCTACGGCTACAGCCAAGGCCCATATGTCCAGCTGCCGGCTGCCATGAGAACCCCTTGTCCTTGGACTACGGCTGCGGCTGTCACTGTCCTTCATGCCAAGCGGATACTCTCACGCATGAGTGTCCTTAGTCAACGAGCCCTGAAAGCTGAATTGAACCAAGGCAGTGGCAGAGATCAACATGTGGAGACGGGAGAAGTGAGGAGGGAGAGACAAGGAGCTCTTCACTCAGCATGACAAGGAGCGTGCCAGGGGCAACACCATACGTGACATAACAGAGAAGGGCGCGATCAGCTGAAGCGCAAAGCACGACACACCAGCCAGGCTTCGTCGACAAAAGGAAGAACACGAGAGTGGACGCTCTCCGGCATAGCCTCCCAAGCACGCAGAGCATGACGGAATCCAAGCGCGGAGTCGCCCAAGGACGGAGATTGACGTTCCGAAACGGGGAAGCAGACCATCATAGAGATCGAGAAGACGCACAGGAACAAACAGAGAGGACAGAAGCTCCTGCTGAAGAACCTGGCTTCGGGAGATGTAGTTAAGGATGCTCTTGGGCAAGTGGGGGGCAGTTGAAGCCTGACTGGGGCATAGGAAGGAGGAGGCGCCGGTCGCCCCGAAAGATCAGGGCGCACAAGAGGCATAGACGGGAAGCCATCAAAGAAGGTGGAAGAGATAGAGGACGGAGAGGGCGCGTCCGCGACATGGCTGTGGAGGTCCCGAACCTCAGGGTTGCTGAGGACAGAGGCGCGAGCAGAAGCAAACTCAGCAATGCTCTGGGCAGGCGCAAGCGGAGCCCAGGAAGTGAGGGCGCCCGAGCCACGGACGAGGCAGCGCAGGCCATCAGGGCCACCTAGAGCAGCAACAACAGCAGAAGGCTTGAAGTAGTTCCCAATCAAGTCATGCAACAAGCGCAGAAAAGAGAGCGAGGAATTAACGCCAGATGGAATAGAGCATAACTCCGAGTCCTTGATCTTCTGCGAGAGACTTGGAGGCCGAAGGGGAAAAGCGAGCCGAGGGTTGCCAATCCAAGGAGCGACAGTGGCAGCGGCCTGGTCAACTTTGGCGGGGGGAGCGCAGCAACGGGGGCACCCCATGCGATGATCTTCTGGAGAGCAGAAGCGACAGGGGGGAGAAAAGCGGTCCAGTCAAGGCCAGAATCGCACTGGTCGATAAAGGGAGGGGCGCCCTGAAAGTAAGTGAGATCGCAAAGCCAAGGCAGGGAAGCGGAGCTGCCCAGTAGGTGTCCATCCAAGGGACCGCAGCCAGAGGACCCAGCAAAGAAATAGCGGTTGGAAGCGGCATTGCGCCCGCTTGGCCGATAAGTCATACTGAAAGAAATGCGCAATAGTGGGCCGAATGGTGTTATCAAATTCGAGAATAGCAACCGGAGGTCGTCCGACATAATGCGATACAGTCTCTGCAAAGCTACCACTGCCGTCAAAAAGCGAGATGATGGCAGAAGGCTTCAAGTTCGGAGCCGCGAGGGGCTGAGGCACATGGGTCGACCTGGCAGCACGCGCTTGGAGCAGGTGCTCGGCAATACCTCGCGCAGCTTTGCCGCGTCCAATGACGAGGCCACGCACAGAAGCACGCTGCCTGAGGAGCTCAACACAAGAGATGGACTGGGAGCCAACACGCGGATGGTATAACCGACCAACATGGGAGTCAACTGACTCGAGCAGGAAAGGGCCTTCAGGTCCATCAAAGAGCACTGCGAGCAAGTGGGAATGCTTCTCTTTGCTAGCGCGAGAAAAGCGTTGAGCTAAATCAGGTAGCTCAAGCGAGGCACCAAGGAGGGTGAAAAGAGACTCCAACCAGGGAACAGGGGAAATGTAAGCGAGCATCAGAGTAGCCCGGTACAAGCGTAGGCCAAAGCAGTAGTGATAACGTGGCAACTGGCCGTAGAACCATCAAGGACGGCGAGCGGTTCTCCTCCAATGAAGACGACCTACAAAGGCCCCAACAAGATTAGCGCCGAGGAGGGACGCAAGAGTCTGAATGCAGGGGAGGACATGATGGGGCGCCTCCAAGGAAGAGAGAGCTCTCCGAACGAGAGCGTGGTCACCGACTACATCAAGGACGTCGAGACTCCATCCACCAGCGACACACTCCAGCAAGATCTGCCGCACATGGTCGACAGGGACTGGAAAGCTCCAGTCCCCATCTTCAACAACATTTCGAAGAGCGACAAGGAGAGAAGCAGCCGTAGAGGGGAGGTGCTCAGCAGGCAGAGGCACAGCAGTGTCGGTGGTCGGTGAAGCAAGTGGGGAGGACCTGGCACAGGTACGAGACAAGGAGTTTTTTGCAGGCCAAACACAAGGTGAATGTCCGAAATGTCAGGCATGACAAGGTGCAGCTGGGAGATTGTCTGGACCCGAACAACGCAGAGCCCGCCCGAATGAAAATGAAGACGAAAAGGGGGGCTATGGGGGGGAGAGAAGACAACACAGGTCTTGCCTACGAAAGTGAGGAGAGCAAACTGGAACACTTGTTCGGACTCCGGGGCGGGAATCCAGCGCAGGGGGGAGGTCTCAAACAAGCTGAAGGCCATGCATACCTCATCAAGCTCAACAGAGACGGCTTCAAGATCGCCAGTGTAAGGAAAGGACAAGGTACGAAACGGAAGAGGGAAAAAGAAACGGAATACAAGGTAATAAGGCCAGCAACAAGCGTTCCGCCAGGTAGCTCAAGGGAAGGAACCTCTTCAAGCAGGAGGAACCTCTTCAAGGAGGGACTTGTTGACAGTGCTTGACGAGGCAAGTACTGATTCGAATCTGCACTGCCAAGGGATCCCCCAGGAAAGGGCCAAGTGACAATACAATCAAGACTGTTAACAGCGAGCATGCGCGGACCTGAGTCAAGGTAAGCACGTAAGAGGTGAGCAGGGGAGCGAAAAAGAAGAACCTGCAGGATGATCTTGGCCGGGTCCTCAACGAGGGCGGTCTGATAGCAACTGCCCTCAAGTTCTTGGTTGAGCACTTGCAGGAGTGATGGAGCAAGCAAGTACTTGGGCTCATGCGAGGAACTGCAGTGCTTGTGGAAAGTCAAACGGAAAGCTCCTCTTGAATAGTGGGCCAAGGAACTCCAGCACGGAAAGCGCTGAGCCTAGTAAGCTCAAAGTCTTCAGGAGAGATACCAAAGGTGCGCAAAAAGGGAAGAGCCAAGCTTTGCAGGTAAGCCAGGACGGGCTCGTTCTCGGGGAGCTTTCCTCGAAAAAGAACAAATGAGACATGTTCACCACCGAGAAACGCAGAGCGGGCTTGCCAAAAACCAAAGGCCGAGGCTTCAATAGGTGTGTGCTCAGAGTGCTCAAACGCCAAGACAAACTTGTGCAACCAAAGATGAAGTTGGCTAATACGGTCAAAGAGAGGCCCTGACCGAAAATGAAAGAATCCACCTGCTTGTGATCTCCGGAAGTACGGACTGAACACATGGTTTTGGCGGACCCGAAAAGACCAAGAAGCACAGGAGCGTTCAATTCCACTTCATCTTCAAGCTCAAGGTGTCTGCCAACTGACAGTTGTACGTGCACAAGGATGTCCTGGCGAAGAAACGCCAAAGATGGCTCTGAGGCCCCAGGGCCATTAGTCTTAGTGAAGGCGACGGCCTGACAAACCATGGTCTGGTGTGTAGCGGGGAGAAGCGACAAGGCGGTGAGTGCATGCGCTGATGGTAAGGAACTGGATAGTCCCCACTTACAAGTCAAGAGCTCAACAGGCATCTAAGGAAAGCCACAACAATGACAAAGCAACAAGGGACATCGAAGAGCCTACGCAACGCATCCAAGTTCTTTCCACACAGAACACACACCTTGCCAGGTGAGGTTGACAGGGATCCAGCAGCGAGCACATCATGGGGATCAAAGGTGGGGATGAGAGCTGATTCACAAAATGCTTTCTTGAATTGGCTGGGTGCAGGGGAGAGAATAGCGGTAAGAGTCACTCAGAGAGCCGTAGGGCAGCTTCACCTGCTGCCCAGTGTAGGGCTTCATTTCGATTCTCCTTCGAGTACTCAGCTGGGCAGTGTTCCTGACTCACTCCTGCCCTGGAAAAAATTGGCCCTTTGAGAAGGCCCACAGTAGGCTCCATATCTTCATCGTCAAAAATCTCAAAAACTTGAGGGGAGACATTAGCGCGCCCTGTCGCTCAAACTTCACGCCAGGCACGCCCTCCAGGGCATCTCCGTCTCTGCTGGGTGCGCGGCCACGAATTCAATATGGCTGGTGCCTCAGCAATTTCAAACACCCTACCCCCCTGAGATGACACGAAGACTCTCATAGACCCCTTCAGACTTCAGATCAACAGTCAAGCACAAACAAAACGGTCCTCCAAAGCAAGTTTTAGCTAAGTCAAGCACGAGTCCAAGATATCGGCATGACCTTTGCCTGGCATATCCACGCCAAAGTCCAGTCATAGGTAGCAAATGGCTAGAAAACGCAGCGCAAAGCTCTTCAGTTGATGTGTGGTTGTGTTCTGCGGCGTTTGTCTGCCTGGCGCCTTCCGTATGTGATCTGCACAAGTTGCTCCCTGACGTTGTCATGTGACTTTGCAGGGGGGCGGTTCCCTCAAGCGAGCCAGCAGCGCCACCACAAGCCTTTGGCTCTGCAAGTCCTCAAGGCGATCGCAAGTGCCGGAAAGCACAGCTGTGTCATGCGTGAAAGAGCTTGGGAGTTCAAGTCAAGATTTACAGACATGGCCTTGGAAATCAGGCCCTTGAAATAACTGGCGCCTGAGGGCCTAAGCGGCTTCAAAAATGCGCCAAGGTCCCAAGCATTGATAGACATGCTTGAAGGGGTGGATGCAGAGACCAGACAGCACCCATGCCAAGGCGTCGTGGTGGTTCCTACGCATCCCAACACGTCCTGACGTATCCCGTGGCGCCAGCACTTCCATGGTGCCATCCCGCGCCATCTCCCAGCTTAGTTTTTTGCAAGAAAGCGCGCACTTTGCAGTGGGGCAAGATATTCTCGCGCAAGGGCGGCCGCAGCAAAACCTCGCTTAAGCTTGCTTGTGGTTGGCAGCTGCCTTGCGGCTAAGAGCATGTAATGAACTTCAACTACGCTGATGTGATTGGTGCCATCCAGACAGATCCCACCGAAGGATCCCCAGTGCGCTGCAGTGGGAGTTTGAAGAAATTGAACCACACAGGAGTCCCGATATTCTTGGCCTGTCCTGTTGCCAGGCCTTCAGTAGGCTTACATGCTCCCACGATGGTATCTTTGACACCGGGCTCCCATCCAAACTCTCGGTCCTCAAGCAGCTCAACGTGGCCTCTATTGCGCGGGGCCAACTGAAGGACTTGTCTTGGTCGAAACCTGCCAGGCAGCAACAGGCCAACTCAGCGTCGCATGGGAATCACTGTGAGTTCGCAGCTATTGTATCTAGTTGTGTTTTGTCTTGCCAGGAGGCGAATCAACCACGTAGTCAAATGACAAGGCAGTTGGGGTTCGACTCCCGTGGGGTGACCAGTACCCTTGACAGTGAGTTGTATAGTAGTGGTCGTGGTAAAAGGGGGTTGTACGGCAAATGATCTGCGCTGTCTCACGACTCGATGCGACGGCGGAATACGAACGCTTTGGCTTTGCATCACAGCTGTGTGTTGGATGTTTGCCTCGATTCTATTGTCAAGGTCTTGAGCCAAATGCATTCGCATGCACATGTCGGCTGCACACAAAACACAATTCCCTCAAAGGTTTAGGGCCTTAAACAAGGGGAAGTAACAGGGTGACTCTCAGAAGCTGCCCTTAGGATGTTTTAGCCTGCGTCTCGGAGATTCTTAGCATCCCCCATCCCGGGCTTGGGTTCATCCTGGGTCGGGATCCAATCACAAACGCACGCCGACACGCATGGACGCACGGCTTCTCTTTTTCAATTCAGTGAAACGTCTCTGCACGAGTTTGACCAGGTTCTGTAACTTAACGTGAAATGAGAATGCTACAGGTCTCTTACCGGACCTCATGTGCAATGGTGCACATGCAGCAAGCTATCTATAAGGTAATTGTACAGATCTAGAGCAGTCTGCAGAAAACAAATATCCATGACTAACACAGTCAAACAATCGTTGACCATCTCCAGAATAGTAGTCGCCGATGACGATACTGTACGGGAACAAGAAAACATTCTGTGGTGATAAATGCAAGTCTCATGCAAATACTTTTGATTTGCCCAGGGTACCGTGCACGACGAGTACCACAAGGGCTGGCCATGATACCACGCACGATGAGTATCACGATCCCATTGTATAAAATGCAAATTCCAGTTGATCCCCCACGCGGAAAAATCGTAAAGAAAATGCTTGATCACCAGTGCGATGATTCTGCGATGCCCTTTCTACTCGCCCTCCGCCGGAACCTTTCTAACAGAGAATGTGGTGTCTCCTCGGTCCGACTGATCTTCTCGATAAAACGCGAGGGTCGATGTATATTGCGAGTAAAGCACCATTGGAGAAGAGGAGCGTCGACCTCTTTGACGCTTTGAATGCAAATGATGGCGCCAAGCTCAAGTTTCAAGAACTTGCGTCCAATGTTCACATCTGTTCGGTAGAAGGTCATGTAATCGCAATTGAGGCCACGGGCGATGCATCGGAATATCGTGTCGCTGACGAAGGCAATGTCCTTCTGGTGGCTGACACCTCTGAACTGCTCTGCTTTGACACCAAGTATACTGCAGGCGGTCCAAATCCGGTACATGATGTCTATCCCTTTCAGCTTCAGGAACCAAAAGAACATTTCTTCGTCCCTGTGGCTTGCGCTTTCGAACCTCACATTTCTAAACTTAGGAGCGGCAGTGACCTCTTCATAGGTCGGCGGGATTGGAATGTTCTGTTCATCGACTTCTTTGAAAATCCAATCGTCCCTCCCGTTGATCGCGATGTAGGGACAGTAGAGTCCGCCACCTTTGCCAGGCTCCTTGACCACATCTGCCTCGTTGTTGGCAAATACCTTCCACACTTTGAAAAGCACGATGCCAATGAATCCAGAGAGGTACGATGCCTCGCCGGCTTTGTCAACGCAGATGGCCTTGACTTGCAGGAGATGAATTGCGTCCGCATCCTCCTCTGGGTTGTCCGGACAAACTACATCTTCATCGTCGATGTCTGCCTGCAGACCGTTCCTCACTCATCTCATGGGTGTCGGGTCGTTCTTCTTCGGATCGCTCAGCATCTTCCGAGCTTGTTTCACTTCCTCCGTCACATTGGTGGTGTCGGATGGCTTGGGCTCGTCGTCATCCACATGGATCACGAACTTGCCGGTGGAAATGAACTCACATTCGCATGCCGTGCAATAGCAAAATCCCCTTGCAATAATGATAGCGCATGCTGGGCATACTCTGGGGAAAATACTTGATGGATCGTCCTCGCGGTAGACAATGAATCTGCTGAGCAAATCCCTGATCTCTACCAACGATTTGTTCAAGGTCTCGGGCACTCCGATGTTGATGCACGCATCGACAACCATCTTCTTCAGGATGTCAGCATCCGCAGGAAACTGTTGAGGTTTCCAGGGGAGTCCGCTGGGGTCACGCCCACAGCGTCCTTGAATCCTGGACAGATCTCGCTCTTGACGGCGCGCGAGCAATCTCCAGATTGCCCTTCTCTCTTTGAAGGGAATGGTCTCGAAGGCGACGATCGTCCCGCCCGATGTGACCCCTGATTGGTGACAACATCCTTGTTGGCACGTAGATGGCGATGAGGTCATCTCCCTCCATAATATCGCGCATTGCAGTCTTAGTCAAGATGTTCTCGCTGTCCCAAGGTGCAAATACTCCGAAGTGTACCGCCAACCTTCGCGCACCGTCATTGCTGCCAGGAACGACACCTCTCAAAATGATACCTTCCAGGGCTGATGGCTTTGTCACGTGAAATGCTCCGCCCGAGCGATCAGACATGTTCAGGAACAATATGTTGCAAAGTTCAGCAGGACGAGCAAATCCGAATGACGCTCGAATGCACCATGGTTGCCACCATCCGCCATGCTCCACCATGTTCTTCGACCATCCAGCCGCTATGAGACCCGTCATCGTCTCCATGTCAATCTCCTGATCAAACTTTGCAGCAAGGATCTGCAGTCTCGGCTTTCGTGCTTTCCGAACCTCCGATCTGATGCACGCGGCGATGATTTGGAATTTGTCGCTCTTCTTGCACCGATCCTGCAGGAACGCGCCCTCACGACTCAGGATGTGGTCAATGTTCACCCATCCTCCCAATGGCGAGGAATGGCCCCACTTTTGGCCGATTTGATGTCGTAGGATCTTCACCAGTGCTGTTGATGTAAAGAACAAGTCTTGGTGGTGAATGTGAGATCCAAACGCTGTGTACTCACTGTACGGCCAATAGGGAAAACTTGTGTCTCTGTTCTGCATTCCAAGTGTAATCCCCCTGGCAGCATGCGGGTCACACATGAATATCCTTGTATCCCTTCGCAAACTGCCTCATCACCGGGTTGAGGAATCACAGAGGGGCTTGCTCCACCAAACGAATCGAGCATGTGGTTGTACTCCTTCATGGTTCCGTTCGGATTCGTGTGTAGGTCAAGTTGACCAACGTGGAGTTCTCCTCCTTCTGCCAAATCAGCCATCTCGGAGAGGTTCACGACGTAGTTGTACTTGTGGAACTCCTCCCTCGGATAGAAGATCGGCTCCTCCGCTTCCGGTTGATGCGGTTTCTCATGAGGTTCGCTGGACATCGGAGCCATCTCTTCATCATGAGGAACCTCCATTTCGATATCTTCATCAGATGAGGGATGCCCTTCTAGACGAAACAGCATTGTCATCTCGCCGCGTGCCGAGTCAGACTCAGTTGCCCTTGCGGTGTCTTTGCATGTCCCTTCATGGGATTCTTTCCCGCACTTCATGCAAATCTTGAGTTCGCCAGCGCGATCGCAAAGGTCCTCAAACATCCGCAACAGTTCTGCTCGTCTTGAGGCAATGTCCTCGACTCTCGATTGTTTGGCTTCAGGCTCCTCGGCATGATCGGGTTCACGACCACGATCAGCCTCGTCCTCATCGGACTCGCCTGCTTTCCTCTTTTGGCCTGATGAACCGGCTTCCTCGATATCGATGAACGGGTTCGAGTACTCCAGTCTGTCCATGATGTCCCTGACGTTCCTGTTGGGAACTTCCACGTACTTGACTGCGCCGCTTCTCTTCCCGTTGTAACCCGTCATGTGAGAGGTCATGTTCTCCCTGACGAACTTTAGGAACGTGGCTTCCAGCTTTGGTCGGTAGTGGCAAACGTTCTTTGGCAATTCCTTTCCGAAGTAGGATATGACGTCGAAGAACCCGAGAACAGTCTCCAGTCCATCTCCAACTTCTCTTCATTGTCGGTGGAGAAAACACGATATGCCTGTTCCTGACCTAGGAACCAACACATCCATGAGGCGTATACAGCGTTTCCATAGTCGCGCCACACACGGAACTTGGTCTTCTTCTCCTTCGTTCCATCGGAATGGGTGACGATGTACGACAGCTTGTCAACCCAAAGTTGCTTCCCATTGCTACTGCAGAAGTATCCGTCCGTGTCCCCATCGAACACGCTTTCAAGCTCGTTGATGTCACCGAACACCAGGCTGCATTCAGCAAAGAATCTGCCCGTTCGCGTGGCAGTTCACACATGTATCCGCATTGCACTGATGGTCGGCCGTGGATTGAGCTCCCTCTGCATGACATTGTGCGGAAAGTAATTCCGCAACGTCTTCGAAGTAGTACCACTTCGATCGCATGTCGTCGCCGTCCTCCTTGCCAAACGCTTCCAGGTCGGAAACCGTTTGTGCGTCCAGCGAAAGTACATCCATGATCATCTCGACGATCAGCTTCTTTTGCAACACGTAGAAGAGCTTGGAGTCTCCGGCGCAGCTATAGTTGCAATCCGTCAATCCAGATACTTGCTTCCAAGCGAGATCGTTGTCGGTGACCACGACGCCCGCACTCGCGCACACTTCCATCACTTTCGTTGCAGTCAGCATCAGGTTGCCAGTGCTCTGATGGAATTCTGGGTGGTTGCTGATACTCACGAATACTCCACCGCCACATATGCTTGAAAGTTCACTCAGAACCTCGAGCAGGCCGTCGTACTCGTAGTGTTGATCTTCCGCGCGATCCAGCAAAGTGGTAGACAAAGGAATATGCAAAAGCACCACCACAGAAAAGATCCAATCATTCCACACTTCCCTGATCCGGGCGAGGCGCACGACCACCACCCTTCAACAGTTGGTCCAGATTTCCCTGATCCAGGAGGGGTGCACGACCACCACCTTTCAACAGGTAATCCGAGAGCGATACGCAACCAACACTCACCTTGTTCTCCTCGTTGTGAAGC